TCACAAAGATCCGCCTGCTTCTGCCTCCCAAGTGCTGGGATTAAAGGTGTGTGCCACACGCCCAGCTGTCCTTTTCTATTTTTTAATTTTAATTTTAATTTTATGTGTATGAGTGTCTTGCCTACATGTATGTTAATACACCCATGTCATTCAATGCCTGCAGAGGTGAGAAGAGGACATCAGATCCCTTGGAACTGGAGTTACAAGTGGTTGTTAGTTGCCGTGTGGATTCTGGGAACCAAACCCGGGTCCTCTGCAAGAGCAGCCAGTGCTTTTAAAATGCTGAGCCATTTCTCGAGCCCCTCCTTTTCTATTTTAAGGAATAGTTTTCAGAAGGATTGGTGTTAGTTCTTTAAAGATGTGGTAGAATTCTGCAGTGAATCCACCTCAGCCCAGACTTTTTTAGTTGTGAGTTTTTTGATGTATCAGTCTGACTGCTTGCTTAAACTGTTTTTCTCCTCTTGGTTTTTGTTATGGTTGATCACATGCATCTAGAAATTCATCTATTTCTTTTAGCTTTTCTGATTTAGTGGCATACATTTTTAAGGTATGTTCTTAAAATTTTCTGAATTTCACTGGTATTGATTATGTCTCCCTTTTCACCTCTGATTTTATTGAGTTGTTCTTTTTGTTAGTTTGGTTAAGGTATTGTCTATCTTGTTTATCTTTTCAAAGAACCAACTCTTTATTTCATTGATTGATGGCGTTTTCTCTGTTTCTATTTCTTTAATTTTTGTCCTGATCTCATTTCTTTTTATGTCAATTGCTTTTTGGTTTGGCTTGTTCTTATTTTTCTAAGGCCATAAAGTGCGCCATTAAGTTATTTATTTGGGACCTCTATGATTTTTTTAAAGAAATATAGGCACTTATATCTATAACTTACTTCTTACGACTGCTTTCACTGTGTTCCATAGTATTTGCTATGCTGTGTCTTCATTTTCATTCAGTTCTAGGAATATTTTAATTTCTTGATTTCTTCAGTGATGTATATAATTGAGTAGTATATTGTTAAATCTTCATGAATTGATTTATAGCTATATTCTTTTAGAATATAGGAAGTTATTTCTCTGAAAGCTTGCAGGCCAACTAGCCTGGCATATACAGGAAAGAAATCAGAGGAAACCCTGCCTCAAACAAGGTAGAAAGTGAGCTGGGTACAGTGGCACACACCTTTAATCCTAGCACTTGGGAGACAGAGGCAGGTGGATCTCTGTGAGATGGAGTTCAGTCTAATCTACATAGTGAGTTCTAGGTCAGCTGGGGCTACAGGGAGACCCTGTCTAAAGAAAAAAAAAGAAAGAAGGAAGAAACCAAGGTAGAAAGCGAAGTCTCTGGCACCCGAGTTTGTTCTCTGATCTGTGCAAATACAGAGAAAGGTGAAATGTTTTTTTAAAAATCATAATTTTAAAAAACTAAGTATATTTTTATCCTCAGCTTTCATGTTTGTAGTGACTGTATTTTCCTGGGTTTGTTGTTGTGGTGGTTTGAATGACAATGTTCCCCATAGGCTCCAAGTATTTGGACATTTTGTACCCATTTGGTGTTGCTGTTTTAGGTGGTCTTAGGTGTGGTCATGCTGGAGGAAGCATGTCACTAGGGGCAGGCTTAGAGAGTTCTTAAGCCTTGTCAGATCTCTAGTCACTCTCTGTTTCCTGTGCCTGTTTGAAGATGTGAGCCTCTGCTTTCTGCTCCTACTTCAGCCACCTCTGCCACCCCACCATGATGGACTCCTATTCCTTTGGAACTGGAAGCTAAATAAACTTTTCCTTTTATAAGTTCCCTTGGTCATGGCGTTTCTATCACAGCAACAGAAAAGTAACTAATATAATTGTTTTTGTTTTGCGTGTCTCTTGTGGGGGGTAGTCTGATTCCTGAGCAATTACCACCTTAATATATGGAGGGGAAAAAAAAATCACAATTTTAGCCGTGCCTGAATGTTGTTTTTGAATAAAATTCACTATCACTACTCTATGGGGAACTTCACTAAGATTTGAGGCTCAACTAGATAGGCAGCTTAGAATATCCCAGACCTTCCTTGCTCTGGACTTGAAGATTTTTAAAGTTCAGAGCTAATGTATATGGAAGAGAAAAACATCTGTTTGGGTTTTTTTTTGTTGTTGTTGTTGTTGTTGGTCTTTTTGAGACAGGGATTCCTTGTAGCCCAAGCTGGCCTGGAACTCACTTTATAGACCAGGCTGGCCTCAAACTCACAGAGATCCATCTGCCTCTGCCTCCCAGAGTGCTGGGACTAAAGGTGTGTGCCACCCTGCTCAGCAGAAAAAAACATCTGTTGAAGTGACTTACTTCATTGTGTGATGCTGTTTTCCTGTCCTTGGCAACTGAGTTTCTGCTGAGCAGTTTGGCAGGTTGATCATTAATTAATGGTGAGGGAATGAGCCATGTATCTGAGGAACCCCATTTTACCCTGTACTTCCCCACATGTCTGGCAAAGCCTTCAGAGTCTAGGACCACTCATCCCACAGTTGTGTCTTAACTCATACATCTTTGAGCATAATTAGCTCAGATATAAATGGATGAGTGGTCAGAGACACAAAGAGTTGGTGTGGAGCAATGTAGTTTTATTATCAGTCACTTTTGAGAAATTTTTGTTGGAAAAAATACATAAAGGCTTAAAAACCACCTAAAAAAACTTAGACTCTTGAAAGCATGCACTCAAAGTTCATGGCATTTTGTGCATATTCCTATCTGTGTCAGTTTTGGTTTTGTAATATTTAATTTAGATGTGGTTTGTTACTTATGGGAAAGTTTTAAGAAAAGTACAGCAGACACCTATAGGTTCCTTTTCTCATGCTCACCTATTTCAGATTCCCTATTTGTTTTTCATCCTTATTCCTTTTTCCCCTTCCTATACTCAAAGACACACTTTTTCCTGAAATATTTCAGAGGAGATACCAGGCTCCTTTACTCCTAGTTTTTCAGTATGTATTTGAGAACAAGGACATTCTTCTAAGAAACCACAGTACAAATATCAAAAGCAAAGCATTGAATACTGACATAATTACTCCTACTTAACTATTTCAAATGCCAGCATCTGTCTCAGTAGTGTCCGTTGTACCATCTTCTTACTCTGTCCAGAATTTGGTCCAGGATGGCATGCTGCATTTAGTGTTATGTGCCCTTTTAAACAGAAACTACTTCTCCCAATTTCCTTTGTGATTTTATTTTATTTTTACTTTTTGACAAGTTCGAAGAATTCAAATGAGTTATTTAATAGAGAGAGTGTCACTACATCAAGCTATTTAGTGTTTCCTCATTCAGTTTTGGTTATGCATTTAAGTGATGTTTGTCAATGCTGATGTAATAAGATATAAGACTCACAGTTTTTATTTGTGCCTTAGTTGTTGAAAATAGCTTTTATCATTTAGTTAAATTGCAATTTATACTTTATTTTTAATAAGAATTCTATAGAGAAACCTTAAGATTGTAAATAGCATATCCCTCTTCAAATCATCCACTAGTTTTAGCAAAGATAATTTTCAAACAGTTATTTTTTTCTGTTTTTCTCTTTTTATTTTCTCGGTTGTGTTTGTTTTTAGATGATTTTATACATGTATATAATTCATTCTGATTCTTCTCTCTACCCACCCTTTTTTCTCCCTCACATCACTGCCACCGCGCCCCCCCCCATCCTCCCTACAAATACCTTTCCTAGATTCATGTCTTGTTTAGTTTGGTTTGTTTTTGTCTGGTCTGGTCTGGCCTGGTCCAGTCCAGTCTGGTCCGGTCTGGTCTGGTCCACCCACTGAGTTTACCCAGAGCCCTCTGTATCCATCAGTTCGTAGCTCTTCATTGGAACCTGGTGGGCTAACTAGTGAGCAGACAACTACAAGCAATGACTCCCCCTCTTTCAGAATCGGTCAGTAGCCAGTAGTTCAACAGTAAGAGGTAGGTCCCCTTGAGTCCCTGCCCCATCCATGCCCGACTGTTGATGGGCCCGTATTTGTGTAGATCCAGTGCAGGCAGCCATAGCTGGGATGAGTTTGTGCTTGCAGTTGTGTCTTGCCCAGGAAATGGGGTTTTGCATCCCTTTTCCCTATCTTCCAGCTCCTACATTCTTTGTGCCCCCTTCTTCCACAGTGTTCTCTGAGCCTCAGAGGGGATGGTATTAACATCTTGTTCAAGAGTACAACTTAAACATTTAATTAATTAATTAATTTTCTATGTGTATATGTATGTAGGTGTGACATATATGAGAGTCATTTCTCTCTTTCCATCTTGAATTTTGGATATTGAACTCAGGTTTTCAGGCTTGAGCCACAAGTGCTTTTAACTGCTCGGTCATCTCAATGGCACTTTAAGGTGTATTCATTAGTTGATTCTCCATTGCAAGAAGGAAGAGCTTTTCTCTCTGTCATTCACTTATTTTTATCAGTATGAGATCTTTGATTCTTAATTTGTTCAGTAGTTATAATTACTCTCACTTTCTTTGTTGACTACAGATTTGGCCACTAAGAGGTCTTTAAGCTGACCTCTTTGGGGGGGCATTTTCTTTCTTTCTGGCACAAGATAGTCCAGATCCATTTGTATTTCCTCTCTCCCAGCTGGAGCATCTACATTTTTTCAAGGAATGCTTACTCTTTTTTCCTGAAGAATGACATTTAGAAACAGTGTGTGTGTGTGTGTGTGTGTGTGTGTGTGTGTGTGTGTAAAGAAACTATGTCATAGAATATATATTTACTAAATCATTGTATGCGGTGTGTATGTTTGTTTAATGTTACAAGTTTCAAACAGAAGAGCATTTATTTTATATGCAATAATCATAAGTTTTGACAAGAAAGAAATACATTTTTCATTTCACAGTAAACGGCGTTGCACAGTTTTGAGTACTAAATCATCTTGACATTTATGAAGGAGCAAATGGAAAGTGGGGAACTGAGTGTGTTAAATATAAAGCTATCTTTAACTGTTCTATTAAAAAAGCAAAGATTTATTTTCCGTCTGTGATGTGAATGTGCCTACTTGTGTTCTTTTTCACACAGTGGAATTTCTGTGGAGCCACACTACGGAGAGCATGTGTGTTGGATATATGTCAGCCCAGGATGGTAAAGCCAAGGTAAGTGGGAAAATCTGGGTCATAACCTGAAAACCTTGTAACCATTGCATGAGCTTCTAACAAGCTATGTTGAAACATGAATTTTTTTCTACCTCTTGAACAGTGGCTCTATGATCTTATATAGATCACATTAAAAAACAACAACAACAAATAAAACCAGTTAACCATTCCAAAGAAAATCAGATCTTTTTGTTGTTCCCGTTTGCCCTTTTTGAATACCTGGGAAAAAAGGAAACTGGAAATTGGTAAGAGAAAGTGAGAAAAAGCTGATGAGTTGACCCAGATGGATGATTCCTCAAGGAGTGTTGAAAAGAAAGGAAACTGAAGCACTGTAAAATTTACCCCTTGTATGTATCTCTGTACTTGTGATTAAGGAGTAGCTGGTATGCTTGTACATATGATCCAGCTCATACTCTGGGGTCATCTAGAGTGCCTTGTCATAGTGTTAAAGGGCTCTGCTTCTGTCTGCCACACGATGCCCCAGAAGCTACAGCAGTCCTACCGTTATCCAGGCATCAGTTCTGGAGTTGCTTGGGCTCCTTGGACCAGTGATGCTTAATCTTGGGATTAAAGTACATAATTTTTGGATTTATTTTTATGTTAGCCTCATGTTCCTCTTCATAAAACCTTTAGGAACAGCTGTGGCATATGACATTCACTTGATATTAAAGCTATGAAATTTGACAGCGTCTTTTTTAAAGGAAATTATTTATCTTACATATTTGGAAATAGCAAGTAAAGAAAATTCTGATTTATATTGTCTGATATGCATTGAGCCATTGACAAATAGAAAATAAATGTACTAGAGTATACAGCGATACATCATCATGACAGTTTGGTCAACAACAGACTGTATATATGACAGTGGTCCTACAAGATTATAGTGCCTAGTGACATCATACATGTGATCAGTGATGAAACTGCCTAACAACGCATTTCTCAGAATGTAGCTCCATTGTTAGGTAACATGTCACAGTAGTTGATCCCCCATTTCACAAAAATGATGTACTGTATATTATCTAGTAAGTCAGTAAATTCACAGATAATCTGTGAATGTAGTATATAGGAGCATTTTCATCAGCAAAGGATTGACTTATATTTGTGAAATGTTACTTAGCTCTCCTCCCCTTTATCTTTAACTGATAAAACTTTTATTTCTTATCAGTAGACCTGTTTCATAAGAGAATTCATAGATTGCTTTGTTTCATAATCTGTACAAAAGAGAATTATAATTACACATTGTAAAAGTGATTTTCAAGTTTAGATGAGCACTAATAGAATTTTTCATGGTAATTAAAACATTTGGTATATATGTTGTCTAGTAGGGCATCCACTAGCTACATGGTAAAGTCACTGAGTTATTTGAAATGTGGTTATTGTGACTGAAGAATCAAATCTTAATTTTAATAGCCACATGTGGCTACTTATATTGAGCAGTATAGGTTTATGAAAGGGTGACTAAAAATAGTTATTCAAATAATATTTTCAGAACATTCTTTTTTGAGTATGATAAAACAGTTTCTAAACATGAAACAAGCCTGATAAGCCACAAGAATCCTTGTGTAAATAAAAATCATTTGTAGCTCTTTAAGCTCCTCTACCACTTTGTGTGTTCACCCTGAACTAAGATCATAGTTTAATGAAAGACCATGATGAGGTAGGCTTCAGGACTCAGGCCATTCTGTTGGGGGCAGGGTCCCTATAGAGTCCCTTGGGTTGAGATGTTTTTGTTTTCTCTGCTGGTGGCCCATAGAAAACACCCTGCTGTTTAGCCTTTAGTATGGGTAGTAAAGAAAGTACATGGTGGGGCTAGAGAGGTAGATCAGTGGTTAAGAGCACTGGCTGTTCTTGCAGAGGACTTGGGTTTGATTCCCAGCACCCACACAGCAGCTAACAACCATTTTTAACTCTAGATTCAGGGAATCCCACTCCCTCTTCTGGCTTTCACAGGCATTGCATGACACAGGTACACTTACATATATACAGGCAAAACATTCATACACATAAAATGTTTTTAAAAAGGAAAAAGAAAATGAAGAGACCTGCATTGAATACAGAGCAGTTTGGCCTCCAGTTGTGGTGTTTGACATGTGGTGATTGTGGTTTTCATGTGGTTGGTAAATCACCAGCTGGTAGTCTTGATTGGGCCAGCACATACAGCTGTTCCTCTTGCCTCACTTGTAAAGTATGTTTTTTACCCCCCCCTTTTTTTTTTACAGAGAGTTAATCCCTCTTCCTTTCTTCTTCCTTTGAACCTGTGTCTATAAATGTTTTCCAGAAAAAGAAAACAAAACAATAAAACACCAAGGCTTTGGTTGCTGGGTTCAGTGATTAAAACAACAACAAAACAACTCTTTTGTCATAATTGCTGGAATTTTATTGTGTGGCAAGTAAGGCAAAGTTATAGATGAGAATCTGGGCTTAAGAGAAAGAGGGCTGTAGCAGCAGTTGTGTCCTTTTAGGAGTGCAAACCTTTGGCCTACCTGGGTGACTGTACCTAGGGCTCCTGGCTTCCCTGAAGAGTTGTATGATGGCCTAACTACTCACTATGATGACAGGTTTGTGAAGTATTTTTTCCATAATATAGAGAGGTATCATAGCAAGATGAGTACAAAGCAGCTTTTAAAAACTTTTTTTAAGAAAAACAAACTCTTACTTTCCAAAAATTGCCATCTTTCTCTTGTTACCAAACTTGGAAACTGAAAAGGCATTTGAACATTTTATATAAGCGAACTATGCTTAATTCAAATTAAAGCCTTGAATTAAAGCTCAGAAAAGTATTTAATCCTTGTGATCAGGATCAGACTCCATATATAATTTTGCAAGTTTCACTTTCGTTGCTGAAAGAATGTTTTTTGTTTTGGTTTTCATTTTCTTTGTCTTTTCTTCCCTCCCTCCCCTTCTCCACCTCTTTTGTTTTGTTGTTTTGTTTTGTTTTGTTTTGTTTTGTTTTGAGACAGGGTCTCTCAGTAGCCCCAGATGACCTGGAACTCTCTATGTAGACTAGACTAACCTCACCTGCCTCTGCCTCTGCCTCCCAAGTGCTGGGATTAAAGGTGCATGCCACCATGCCCTGCATGAAAGATTTTTTTTTTTTTTGTCTTTTTGAGACAGGGTTTCCTTGTAGCACCAGCTGGCCTGGAACTCACTATGTAGACCAGGCTGGCCTTGAACTTACAAGAGATCCGCCTGCCTCTGCCTCTCAAGTGCTGGGATTAAAGGCATGTGCCACCACACCCAGCAAAAGGATATTTTTTTTTAAAGTTGTCTTATAATTATACCAATTAATTTCTACCCTCCTTCTGTAACATAATGTAAATGGGCTTTCTTTTTATGGAACAAAGTTGGAGCATTGATAGTAGTTGGATTTAAAAATCATATTGCCCACTTCCTAAAGTGACTGCAGGCAGCTAATGAGCAGTTTTTCATAAACACCCAGTGTATATAGACTACTGCAATGAAACATGTTTAAACTGGCATGGACCTGACTCAAATATAAAACCCCCACCCTATGTGAATTAGGTTTCTTTTATATTTAGAGGTCACTTCTAATAACAACAGTATAAATACTGTTATAAAAAATAAAAAATTTATCCTTGCAGAAAAACAGGCTATTTTATGGTTTTTCTCTGTCTCTCTAGAGATTTATCATTGTAGAAAAAATTGTAACTGCATAATGCAGAAACTAGGCAACACCTTAACCATATGAGCAGAACTAATACCATTAGTGAGGAGCAGATGGACAGTGTATATGCCTCTAGATGTGATAACCTGAGAAGGGCACAGTGTCACATGTGTGGTATTCCATCTGGACGTGCATAACTTGAGCCTGATTACAAGGAAACAAAACAAATCGGACAAATCACAAATGTTGAGAAGAAGGAAAATGTTGATGCCTTTAAAGAAGCACCAGCTTGAACAATACTAAAGAGATGTTGCCTCTAAGTGTTCTGGTGGGCCTTGGTGTGGGGTCTGTATGGAAGCCCAAAATGCTATATATACATTATACGTCAATTTGAAAGCTTAGAATATGGTTTCTAGGGAAATATCCTTAATTTTAGGAAACACAGACTAAGACATCTAAGCATATGGGCATATATATGTATATGTGTATCTACATAATCTTAATAGTTCAGAAAAATTATGTGACTGATATGTGGATACTAAATTAGAAAGTGAGTGGAACAAAATGTTGACATATAAACCTTGGTAAATGATGCATGGGCATTACTTAAACTATTCTGTCATTTAAAAAATAATTTTAAAGTAACAAGTTTCAAAGTAAGTCACTTATATATTATGACAGATTTTATTATTTGTGGGATTTGCATTGAAATTATGTAGTTCAAAAATAATCACCCTTGGTTTTTTTATAACCAATTCTGCACTGGATGAATGGTTACATTCTTCCAAATACTGCCTTTCTCTTTGAGTTCCTCACTGGATTGACCAAAAATGTTCAAATAATAACACATTTCTTAAAGATAATTTGTGAGCTCTTTCTATAGTAGTAAATATTGTTTTTTGGATGAGCCTCTGAGAGCTGAGCCTTTTTCATTATCACAGTGCCTCACATTATCCAGCTTTTAGTTTTAAAGTTTTAGTTACATAGCAAATGCTTGTTTGTAATATCCTCCCTAATATCCTCACTACCAAAGTGCCTCACATTTTCCTGGAACATTGTCCAGCTTTTCATTTTAAGGTTTTAGTTACTTAGTAGATTCTTATGTGTAATTCCTCTTCCTTATATGTCACACCATGTTCCTACTTTGACACATGGTAATGAAACAGGACAAATGTTCCCTGTGCCATTATTTCCTTGGATTAGGCAATGGTTTCTTGAATATAACCCCAAAAGCACAAGCAACAAACAAGAAAATAAATCGATATTAAAAACTTTATGCTTCAAATAATACCATCAAGGAGGTAATAGCTAACCCACAGAATAGGGAAGCATATTTGCAACTAATATAATAGGTAAGGGACTTATATTACTTCAG